ATCTACGGGGGCGATATACCTACGAACGGGCATCCCCCTCACATCCAGTGGGACGGGCGGAGGGCGGCCGCCGCCAACGTGGTCACGCACCTAGTGGAGCGCAGCCCGAAGTACAAGGACGCTTGGCGAAGCTACGTTGACAAACTCGACAGCCAGAGAGGTCAATGCCCGCAACGACAGCCACTGGATACACTAACTAACTTCCTATCACAAAGAAAGGACGACCTTGCAGAAGGAACAATCGAGCTCCTAGCCAGCTCGCGGAAGGACGGAAAGACCTGCGGTGCGGAAGAGGAAGGATCCCCCAATGCGATTTGGCTCCGTCCCCGGGCGACCTCACCCGACCCCCCCCCCCGTTCAAGCTATCCCCCAGCCGCCTGACGTGCCAGGGCAGTCCAGCGGTGAGGGAGGGGAGGCCCCGTCCCCGCGCGACTATGGAAGTGGCGGCGGCGACGAGGAGCTGGACTGGGACCCGTCAGAGTCAGAGCGGCAGGCGCATGGAGTCCACCAAGACAAGAACGACTCCGAGGCCCGAGCCAGTCCAGCACGCCAAGTGGTCAAAGCCAACGCCCCAGAGCACAGCGACAGCGACGTCTCCCACAGTCCGCCAGTCCTGTGGACCAATCCCCCACAGCGTGCCGAGTCCAAAGCCTGGTCGCCTTACGCCAGGGGGTACTCGCGTTCATACCAGGCCGCAATGTGCGACGACCCGAGACTCGACAGAAGGCTGAGGCTAGTTGAAACCAAGACAGAGCCCCGGCCGACCTCAATTCCCAAGGACGCCATTCTCAGCCACACAGAACGGCCGCCACTGAGCCCCCCAGCCTCTTGGCAGCAGCGCAGCACAGGCCGAGGAAGCGAGCCGCAAATCGCATCCATTCCACAGGCGCGCCCTGACGACCTCATGTGCGGTCTCCCCATGTACCTGAGCTCCATCAGCGAAGCAGACCAACAAGGAAGAGCCAGCGCAGGACAAGATCAGCCGACTGCAGAGGACGCTGGGAGGCGCCTTCAACGGGATTTGGCCCGCCTGGGTGCGTAAGTCAGTCAGCAAGCACGGGGGCCCATGGGTCAGCATCAAGTCCGACCCCAAGAAGAACTCCGTGCAGCTCTGCGAAGACTTTCTCCAGGCATGGGGCAAAGCGGGCTTCGACGCCTACAGGATGGACGACGAACACCAGCTCCGCGTAGATTGGCCAATCATTACGGACAGACATCGCAAGCAGCTACAGCGCAACACCAGGACGCACCACGACGGCCCCGAGGGTGGCGCACGCCCATGCCCATGGGCAGACGGCAGCAAGGCGGCGCCTGGTCCCCCCTCAGCCTCCTCCGACGACAGGGAACCCGCGCAATTGGCTGCCTCAAGCGAGCCCACCAGGGATGAACGACGGCACCCATGGAGCAAACCAGCGGAGGCCGCCTGCTCCCCTCCGGTGTACACAAACTACAGGGTCGCCGAGCAGACAACCCCACCCAGTGCCGCAGCCCGATGGGAGACATGGCAGGCATGGGAATAGTGGGACCACCGCCAGGACACGCGGTCCGGCTCCGACTGGAGTACCAGGGAGAAACGCTCGGCCCCCAGAGGAGACGCTCAGCATGCTGACAAACGACAGCGCGGGTGGGACTCCGCCCGCAGGTGGGCCTGACGGCCTCGCCCTGGCGGAGCGCTGCCCCACTGCCTCTCCCCAGGCCCAGGATGGCAGCACCTCCATGGGAGACAGATGGAGAGGGCTCCCCGCTGTCCTGCAGCTCATCTGCGGCTCAAGGCCTTTCCCCCCTAGTCATGTCCATTCTACAAGTCGCCACTCAACCCGTATCAGAGCGCCGCGCATGCTTTCTCGACGACAACGACCTCGGACAGTTGGGGACTGCTTCCACCTCCGTATACAAGGTTGTCTCCATTGCGCTGACACTTGGGCCATTGGGTCTCCCGACGCACCTTGTGGGGCCCAGTGGGTCGGCAGTCCGATGGTCCTCGACCGCCCATTTGCCGCCCACAGGAGCAGAGGTCACGAGGATACAGACGCTGCAGGGACTGCCCCCACAGGCCCCTCCGCAGATAGCCCCTATACAGCAGGGGCTGGTTTCACCGCAGTGGCAGGCCCCGGCCTTAATACATTCGTGCCACCTCTTGGGAACGAGGTGCCCCGCCCCCACTGCATCTAGACTCCCACGGTTCAGCGTGGTCTCGAGCCCGTGTGGTTACGGCCGCCATATTGCGGTCACACGGTTCACTTAGGCTCTTCTCTAACATGGGCCCGAGGTGCCCGCCGCGCACCCACCTGGGGCGGCTGGGGCTACAGGACAAAGGCACCCCCCCTCTCGCCCCATTACCAGCGCCTCTGACAGCATCGACCTTACTTCTCGCAGCAGCGACCCGGTGACGTTCCCGACCACGCTGCGCGCGCACGTGACTGATGCTGGGCGTTGGACCCTCGACAGTTCCCACATATTCACCTGACCTGCGGCTATCGGCTGCGCCCCCCTTCCCCCCTCTTCCCATCGGCATCCACAGCTGGGCGCCCGTCGTGGTTGTTTCACCTCAGTGACATGTTGTGGCGCCCCCTGCATTCCTCCCCTGGAAGCGGGACACCAACAGGATGTTGCGATTTGCTCTCCACGGTACACCGTGGCTTAGCCCGTGCGACGTCGGCTGAAATAATCCTCGCTCGCGGCGTGACTTGGCCTAGCTCTCGCGAGCGCGGGCCCGCCTCGCCCGCCCAGGCATTTGAGCGGCTGGGTACGTCGGCCCAAGGCCCGCCCATTCGTTCCACAACCACAACAGGGCCTTCGACGTGGTTGGTTCATCTCAGCGACAGGTCGTGGCCCACGTTGCGTTCCCCTCTGGATGTGGGGCACCGCTATGGCGTGATTGTGACTTTTCTTTCACGGTGCACCGTGACTTAGCCCGCGTGACGTCGGCTGAAATAATCCACGCACGCGCTGGGATTTGGCCCGCTTCTCGAGCTTGGGCCCGCCCCGCCCGCCCGGGCGCCCGAGCGCATGGGTGCGTCGGCCTAAGGCCCGCCCCATCGTTCCACCCTGCACGTCTCTGCTGTGGCCCCCCCCCATTGGCAGGCGCTGACGACGGCTTCTTCGCGGGCGCCGGTTTCGGACACGGTCCGCCCGCCTGGGCTCGCCTACGCGCGGCGCTGTCGGCGGGAAGGCACGCGCCCCCCTCTGTGGCCGCGCTACGGCGCCGTACACGCTGGTGACGCGCAACTGTCCATGCGCCTCAGTTACTCCGTGATTGAGGGTTCCTGGTCCCCGCATGCTTCCGGCGTTGGCTCTTGGCCCGCTGGTAATGATCTGGCCCGTCCGTACATCACCGCGCTGGCTTCTGGCCCGCGGGTAATTATCTCGTTCGGTCCTTCCCGGCTCGCGTCGCCTTCGCTGCGCTCTCCGCCCATGCTTCCCCCTTCCGCGTTCCCCCCCCGGTCTTTCGCTGGCCTGCGCCTCGGGAGCTGGCGCCACTGTGCGACTTTCCGATGCCGTTGTCTCGGTCCGGCTTAATGTGCCTCCTTTAATTTCTGGCGTGTTTACTCATGCTCTTGCTTTCACTTCGGCGCTGGCTTTTGGCCCGCTGGTAATTATCTGGCGTGTCACCCATGCTCGATACTACCCGCTCTCTGGAATCGTCCTTGGAGCCGCAGATCAAAAAAGTATCTGCACCAGTTCTCCTCGGGCTATTTCATCGTGCGCGTGGCTGTGGATTGCGTCGGTGGGAATTATGAAGCCGCCTTTCGTCTTGAGAACGTTGGCTGTGTGAAAATGGTGTGTAGGCCGCCAGGGCGCGGTAGGCACATGAAATACGTGTCCGATCATATGCGGCCACATGGGACTGTCAGGGGTAGGTACAGGATTGCGATGTGCGTGGGAGGTAGGCGTGGGTGTTGAGGTGAAGTTGTGAGACGCGCTCACGTACTGAGCCAGTCCATGCATTCAGTTGGTCGATGGCGTAGTCTGTGGCGTCTTGTAACTCCACGAAGTCAGCTTGTGCGTACGTGGAAGGCGATGGAATGTGGCGGTGAGTTCGTCCACAATGCATGTGGCCCACGGTAGGTACAGTGTGGCTGCTCCCGATGTGTGCAGAACGTCAGCGAGTAGGTTGGTGAGTGAGAGTAGCTTTGAACCTGTGGCGATGTTGAGTTGGTCATGGAGCTGAAACAGGTGAGTTTGAGGCTGGTGGTAAACTTGGTGTTGATGCCGTTGCTCTCGTCGATCTCGAACTCTAACCTTTTCTTGTGGTTGGTCGTAAATATTGGAATGTAACTCTTTCAAGTATTTCTCAGTGCCGTCAAGGTTGTAGTGGGGATGTCGTAGTCGTACCATGTGGTAGATGTCGTCGTTGAGATATTGCCCTTTCATGTCAACGATCGTGCGGCGTCTGATTTCATGGTCGGTAGTGTCGTCTGGTGCGAATGGTTGTCCGTTTTTGTGGTTTTCGGCTCGTGTGTAGTGGGTGGATATGCAGGTATGTGAAGAAACGTTGTCCATGTTTGGAGTGGTTGTCCAAGTTGGTTGTTGAGTATATTGAAGTACTGTCGGTTGATGTCGGTAGGTCGGCGACTGCGATGTGGCTTTCATGTTTTGTGTGTGCTTAGTTTTTGTCGGTAGGGGCGGGCGCCGTAGGTGCAGGGAAATGTAGACGACGTATTTTTTCTGTGCCCTCGTCAGTAATCTCGTCCTGTTTGTGCCTCTGTGACTGTGCCCTGAGCACTTGGGCTGCAGGTGGGTCGTGTGGCGTAGGTGTTGCTGCACGTTGTAGTGCTTGTTGGCTGGTCTTGCCACGTGTCTTCAGCAGGGGTGGTAGTTCGTCTTTCCCGTCGTCCTCAAAGTGGTCGGACGAGGCACCGTATTGGTTCCCCAGTGGGGTGTTGCGCTCTTTTGTAATCCCCTTCCTCTTCCTCCTCCTCCTCCTCCTCCTCCTCCTCCTCCTCCTCCTCCTCCTCCCTCTTCTCCTCATCCTCCTCATCCTCCTCCTCCCCGCGAAGGGCCCCGGGCGTGCCCGGCGTGCCGGCGGCTGCGCTGGAGCAGGCGCCTCCAGCGTCCGGGGGGGGGCGTCAAGAGGGGCGGGCGGGCGGGATATCCCATATTGGGCTGGCCTCCGGCCAGTGCCGCCGATCCGGGGGGGGTGAGAGCGAGATGATGATGGGGATCGTCTTGGAGGCTTCTGGAGCCGTCTTGGGGTCATCTTGGGCGGCTTGGAGCGATGTTTCGGCGAGTCGGGGCCCTCTTGGACCGTCTAGGGGGCCTCTTGGGCCTCTCTTGGCTTTTTCTTGGGCCGTCTTGTGCGGTCTGGGCTCTGGACTTGGGTCGTCTTGTGGCGCTCCTGGGCCGTCTTGGGCGCTTCGGGGGCCGTCTTGGAGCCCTCTTGGGGGCCTGTTGGCGTGTCTTAGGGAGCTCTGGGGCCGTCTTGGACATTGTGAAAGCTCAAGAAACGAATATGCTGGAAATATACGTTTTCCCATGGGAATGGGTCTATTTGTCAGTCTTTGGGCATTCTTGGGAAGTGTCGTGAGGGATCCTGGGGACGTCTTGGAGGTTTCTGGAACTGTCTTCGGGGCATCTTGGGCGGCTCGAGCGATGTTTCGGCGATTCGGGGCCCTCTTGCATTGTCTAGGGGGCCTCTGGGGCCTCTCTTGGCTTCCTCTTGGGCTGTCTTGGGCGGTCGAGGCTCCGGAAGTGAGTTTTCTATACCCCCCTGTCCACGGGTACCGAAAAACGTCGGAAATGACGTCGGAAATATCCCCGTGTACCGAAAAACGTCGGAAATGACGTCGGAAATAACTACCCCCCCTCCCCTGCAGAGCGAAGCTTGAGCGAGCTAAAGTCCACGCTCTCAGAAACTCACACGCCCGGATCAGCGGATTTTGAAGCAGCTCGCTCAAGGCTTTTCGATGCCTGGGCCCAAGGAGGGCCGCCATTGTATCAGGCAACCGAGTGAGGTCGAACTTGTTTGTCCTTTTGCGCTCCTGCAGAGCCCTGTCAGGCGGAGGAGGAGAAGGACCAGGATGAGGAGGATGAGGAGGAGAACCAGGAGGAGGAGGAGGCGGAGGAGGAGGAGGATAGAGGTGCCCAGGGAGGAGGGAGGGAGAGAGCAAGGAAGAGAGGGAGGGAGGGAGGGTGGGACCCAGAGAGGCATGAAGGGAGGGACGGATAAGTCCAAGGAGAAGGAGGAGGAGGAGGAGGAGGCGGGAGGGAGGGAGGGTGGTGGTGGGACGATGCCATGGGCGAGGTGCCGTGGTCACTCTAGAGGCTTCTCGACCCCGGGGGCATTACCCAGGAGTTTTAGGAGAAGAACAAGGTGGGAGGGGAGGGCTGGAAGGCCTGGGCGAAGGAGACCTTGCCCCTCCACGGGGCCCTCCGCCTCGCGTCCTCCTCTCGAGCAGCTTGGCGTCGTAGCTCACGACGGCGCCGCGCCTCCTCCCTATGGGTGGCGATGCGCTCGAGCTGCGCCGGGGTGAGGGAGGGGCGGGGAGGGGGAGGCGGCACGGCGGAGGGAACGGGGGAGGAGGGGGAACAGAAAAAGGCAGTGACTTCAGCCTCCTCATCCAATCCAGGGGATGTTAATTGTCGCGGCTCAGGTGCCGGAGTCGGATCAAACCCACATGCGTCCCGTGTCTGAGTACCATATTGTGGGCTCTGGAGGCTGTCCTCGGGTTCTGCGGGTTCCTTCATGAAACGATGCATCTCCGGGTCAGCTCGTGAAATCCCTCCTTGCTTGTTGGTCCTGTGCACATAGTCTGGCGCAGGATTGAAATCATCATCAATGTGAGGCATGTAAAACTGTCGGAGGTCATTGATGAGGGAGGAGTCAATATCCTCGCCCACGATGTCTGCGTCGTTGGCGTGCGCAAAGATTCTGGAGATAGATGCTGCTATAGATGCGGCAGTCCTATTACACATCTCCGAGGGGTACGTCTTTTTGGCATGGGTTCTGAAATGTGGGGCCCCTCCCTTTCCGTCCGTCTCCTTGCCACGCAGTATCTTGTGAGCCCATTTGGGATGATGACAGCGTCCCTTCCTCGGAGTATCTGTCAGCTTGCTGGCAAGGCATTCCATGCGCAAGCCTAGCAGCCTTGTGGGCGCACGCCCATATTCACTGGGGCAACGTGTGGCTGGCTGATGCACGCACTGGTCAAAGTCTGCTGTGACAACGTTGGGTGCCTATGCGAGCGCTGCAAGGGGCTCCCATTGGAAACTGCTGGGAGCCTGGGAGCGCCAATAAGGGGGAATGGGATGCTCCATCCACCCCGAGGTCCCCGCAGTGACGTGGCAGCCCAAGAGGTACACCAGGTTTTGTAAGAGCGTGTTGCCTACTTTGAGCTGCTGTGCTTGCCTGTCGGTAGTCCAGGGGACGCCCCAAAACCATTCATGAGTACGCAGGGGGGGGCGGGCCCCATCCAGCCATCTGGCCGCACTCCATGTTTCACAGGCCCCCCCCCCAGTATTCCATACCCGTCTGGATAGTATGTGTTCCCCCCACTGTCGGATAGTATTGGCCTGTGTGAGGTCCCCTAGTATGGGATTGATTGCAATGTCAACACTGAGCATACATACCTGCAAGTCCCTGTGTGTGTACATGCCGTCCAGCCAAAATTGTATGTCGCCTTGCCTTCTCTTGCCTGAGAACAAATTCAAAATGAACACCTCAGCTTGATGGATGCGGCAGGGTATCCACTCTGCCGCTATCCCTTGAAAGTCGTGAGATCTGTATTCTAGTGTCGGTCCATGTAGAGAGGCTGATCCTGGGTAGGCTCCTCGGGGGGGTCGTCGAAGAGGGCCTGGTAGGCTGGGAGAGCATCGGGGCTGATCTCATATGTTGCCTGCTGGAGTAGGGTCCTGGCTTCATCTGCGCTGAACGTGGCGGTTACCAGCATGGCTGACGGGTAAAGTCCGTCCTCTGGGTACTGCACTGCTGCTGGGAAGGCTGCTCGCCAGCGCCCTAGTCCTGCCTTTCTCTGAGCCGCATGACTGACTGCATCTGCTAGGCGCAACTCCTCGGCTCTGTCCGGTGATACTGCAGCTCCATGCATCATGTACGCTAGTTGGCATAGCGGCGCATCACATGCAAGATGATCTCGCAACTGTCTTCTTGCTGCAAACGACATAGAGCACGCCATGCATGTACTTCCCTCCCCCATGAAGCGTGAAATGAGGTGTACCGCACTGTAGTGTACACGCACGATGTGTTGTCGTGTGCTTTTGGCAGACGTGCCAAGAAAACTGCACAACATGCATTGTAGGCTGGCATTGAACACTTTGGGGGGGTAAATGGGGTGCGTGGGATCCGTGATGGGCACAGGCACGCCCGCTGGCCGAACAAGCGTCAAAAAGTCGCTCTGTGCCTGCTGTGCCATCGCTGCTCTAGCGGCTGCCATGGCATGTGCTCTAAGTGCACTACTGAGCGCATGCTTCCAAGCTGGCAAAGATGACTGAATGATGTCTTCCCAGCTTGCAAAATGTGTGTCTGGCTCGGGCATGTCACGAAACTTGTGGTATGTAGTACGTAACCACTCCAGATCTTCCATGATTCTGTGCATCCAAGACGTGCGCCTGCCCTGTGCAACCCTATACACATGTGCAACAAGACTGCGTAGTGTGGGTGTGCCGTAGTGTATGAGTCGTCCTAGCAAGCGTAGCCTATGCACACGCAGCACTGCCCGTAGGTCCGCTCGCTCTACCTTAGCAAGGATCAGTCTGTCCGGAACTGACTCTTCATCCTTTTGTGGTAGGTGGAGCACCTGACGATATTTACTCACCATGACGTGCTGCATGTGTGCATGTTGCGCGTCAGTGAGTTGTGGCCAAGTACCCGAGTTGAAGAGGAGGCCCGAGAACAGGCCTCTGCGTACAAAGCTGGCTGCAACTACCTCTGCAACGAGAGGTGCTGCACGTAAAAGCATGGGAGCATGGCCAATGACAATGATAGCTCCGTCGTCAAAGAAGCATATGTCCAATCCTCCTCTTAGTGTGTCTGGCGTATGCTGCAGGAGGTCGGCTAAGCTCGCATGCACAGCAATGGGAATGCGGATGTCGAGCTCGAGCTAGCGTAGCGATTGCTGTGCCTCCTGGATACATGCTGCCATGACAAAATTGAAAATCACATCCCCAAGCTGCTGTCCAGGCACCGTTCCCTCCAGTGAGTATGCAACTGCTGTGGCTCCTGGGTACCAAAACCAACTGCCTGTGTAACTGGAGGCTGCAAGGGCCCTGATATGTTGGGGTACTCCAGCGGCCTCCAAGATGGTGGGGTGACTGGCAATGTGGGCCTTGAGGTTCTCAATGGCACCTCCTGGGAGCCCTGCAGTGGTCAGGATGAGGTGGAGGTCGGCGTCACTTGTGCCAACCTGCATGACCAGCTCTCTGATGGCTCTGTAAAATGCTGATCGGTTCTGGGCCAAGCCTACAACTCAGCGACCGAGAGGGTCGCCAGGGGCGCACCAAACGGCCAGGATCTCGCCGGGCTTCGCACCCCCACGGCGCGGCGAGGCGAGACGGGCGAGGACGCAAAGCACTGGTGTGACGTTCTGGTTCAGCTTGGCGCGTTCTCTACGTGGGGGGCTGCCTCCTCATTCTTCCTTCGCCTATAAAGTACAGCGACCACCAGATCTGGCGACAGGCGTGAGCAGTGTACCCCCACAGTAAGAATGATGCTTAGATATGTGCCCCGATGCCGATCAGCTGCAGCAGCAGCAGCAGCTGCTCCATGTCAATCTTCCGCTGAGGTTGCCACAGGTGATCCTGGTCCAGGGTCCCCGTTGGCTTTCGCGCTATGCTGAAGTTCCTGTGGCGTTGTCGGCCTCGTGGGGTGGGTGTGCTCTGGAGTCCACCAGGGCCTCCATGGAACAGTCAGCCACGCGCAGAAGGGGGTATGGGGGAGGGGGAAAGGCTTCTCATAAAAACCCTGCTTCTTAGAAGGTGTGGGTCTTCTCTAATTATAGTTGTAAGGATCGCGCCTTCTAAGAAGCAGCCGCATCCTAAGAAGACTTCCCCCCTTCCTCTACCCCCTGGTGCGCGCCGCCAAAGCAGGT